CTATATATAATAGGGTTAATATAATAAATTCAATCTAAAAATACACTTGTACAATATTTATATAAGCGTTCTGGAGGTTAAACATTTTTTCTAATTTCATATACATCATGGACAGAACTTAGGAAATTGTAACTTTTAACATGTATATCGGATTCACACAATAACTCTGAAAGATATTTGATACACAGTGATCTCAATTGAATAAACGCAAGATTACCAAGTGTGAACACAATTTCCTCTGTTTCCTTAAAAAATAGACATCCGGCGACATCAAAGCAATTCCACTTCCTTAAGTGTTGTCGATGAGTGTATAGATATGAATATTTGATAGAGAGCGAAGAATGTAGTGAATCGGCTTTTAAGGGCCGAGGAACAATGTAGAGCCTTGAAGATATTCGATAAACCTATAAAATCTACTTCTCTCCTCACGAATAGTCACCTATGCTTTCTCGCACCTTTATTGATCACATTTACAGAAATTTCCATTTTCTTTTAAAATATTCCTTCTCCCATCCCGATACCTCCCTCGTCTGCTAACACCCCTGTTTAAAGAACGAGGTCAAACCTGGATGGATATTACCCCAGAAAGGAATGCCTATCTCTAATGGTTGACGCCGCGTTATCTCTCGGCAGTCACGCTATGTGTGTCTCATAGCGCTGGTCATTTACTCGTCAGGAATTGGGGTCACACAGAGACTATAGCTCTCTTACCACTGGGTTTGGTGGAGAAGTATTTTAAGTCCTCGAATATCGAGAGTCAACACCCAGGATCGAATCCCGCATTGGACACTTTTTTATGAAGAAAGAAAATGCTTCAAAGGCCCGATTCTTGCAGAAGTCTAACTCTATCAGTGAGTTTAGACAATCAAACGGGTCTCTGGAACATTTGTAAGTGCAAAATTCGAAATGATTTCTACATGTTTATGCATGTGGTGAACTTGCAGTAAAACTGTCGGTAACTACACACCATGATTATTTAGGCCAGTACCATATGTACACTAGGGATAATAAAAATAAATCCACTTTATTTCTTCGTCTTGCTTGAAATTTCTGCTAGGTCCGCTTCAAGGGACAAATTGCTAAATGCAAATTTTGCTAAAAAAATAGCAAACTTCTTTAAAATAAGTTTTATTTTCCAAAACAAAATTATGGCGAAATAATACAAAGGCCAAAACTACAAATATATAAACACAATGTAAAATAAACGTTCTTCCCTGATTTATAATATTATAAAATAAATAAAGCTTTCAGGATTAAGTTTCTTGTTCAAATTTTTATTTTCAAGCTTTCGGACTTGTCAGTCCTTCAACATATCATAAATTTATTATCGTGATACTCCCGTTGAAGGACTGACAAGTCCGAAAGATTGAAAATAAAAAATTGAACAAGAAACCTAACCCTGGAAGTTTTATTTATTTTGTAACAATGTAAAATATTTTATTACACTTTTCCATATATACTGTAAAACCCATGAGCGGACATTCACTCTAGCGGTCACTTTTATGCAAATAACAGTTTTCTTGGCCAAAATGGCCATTTTTTCCAAATGACTGATCTATGAGGAGGTCACCTTTCTCTAAACGACACTTTGACTCTGCAATCAAGTGTCTTTTGAGAAAAGTTATACTGTAACTTCCTTTTGTGTACCCAAATCTATATATATATTTCTCTGATCTTCTAATACACCTATGCACCTATGCATTTTTAATAGAAGTTTTCGTCTAAATCCTTTAAAAAGCCTAAAATAGCATCAATAATTTCATTATCATCTTCAAATTTCTTTTCTTTAATATTATTTAGATATCTCCGAATAATTAATAGTCGATAGTAGCTAGATACAGATAAAAGAGAGGTGTCTGATGATTTTGAACATGTATTCTTTGATTGGAGAAATCTAAATGTTTTGAAAATAGAGCAATCCATACTTAAATCATTAGATAATAAGAAGGCATATATTGGATTGAATAAAGGATTTATTTGCCAATATATGCCTTCTTATTATCTAAATGTAAATGTATAGAATATAGATCGTAAAGTGCTCGTAATCGGTGCAGATCCATTTCAACAAAAGCAATCGCCTTTCACTATAAAATATCACCTTCTATAATGAGGGCTTAAATTAGGATTATCTTTGTTGGCATGATGACAATTAATGTTGGTTTTAATTTTGTGGTCAAAATTTAATATATATAATGGCCAAGCTAAATATTCATGGGACAACCCTTGTAAAATATACAAAAGGGCTGTAGAACAAACTCTACTGAGGCCATAAAAGACTGCCCTTTGATAAATTTGAACTAGTTGGCGGCGAAACAGCGGTTAAAGTACTTTTTAAAAGCACGAATATTTCTTTTATACATAATACAAACTTCTACTGCCCTTACAGCGATGAAAAAATATATTGGGAGGGTTCACAACTGATGAGCCAAGCCCTCCCAATATAATATTTCATCGCTGTAAGGGCAGTAGAAGTTTGTATTATGTATAAAAGAAACATTCGTGCTTTTAAATCCTTTCATTTTATATGTATAGATGGCGCGTTATTGCTTTGTGTTAAAGTACTTTTTATAATCAAAATGTTAGTACAATAAATGTGAATCTCCTAAATATAAATTAAAATAATGCAACAGGTTTCTGGAAATGAGTTTCTTTTCATTTTATTATTGCATTTAAGATTATTATCCCTTTTGTACTCCTGTAGAAGAGCGTAAATGCCCGAAAGATCGAGAAAATGTAATAATAAAAGGAAAAGAAACTCATCTTCAGAAACCTATTGCATTATTTAAATCAAAATGTAACTTATAGAATATGCGATATCTATTTATCTATTGGCTAACTGGGGGGAAGGACAGGGGTTCAGTTCATAATGCGGTATAAATACCAATGATTATGTCTTATGACCACACACACACATACACACAATCTACTTAATTTCTAACATATTATTTCATTAGGCCACTATAAAAAACATCAAGAAAATCTCCATCTATAGATAAAATATATTTTCGAACATTCAAATAAAATCACAGTTGTATGAAGGAATTAAAAAGATAATTAAACACAAAAAGACTTAAATAAATTAAAATTAACAATAGAAAGTGGATTCCTTAATATCTGTAGATCTTTGTTGACTTTGAACAATGGGTTTATGATAAAGGGGAGACATGGGGTGATTACAAATAGAGGTGATGATGATGATAATGACAAGGGAGACTCAATTTAACTCTGTTCTAAAGATATGCTAAAGAGATGAAGCACTTTATCTTTTCTTTGTTTTCCAGCCCAAATTGAAGCAGCGTGATGGGGTTAAATCCCAGCTCAAGTGTTCTGAGAACCTGGGAATTTCCGTTCTCTCTTACTCAGCTAATGGAGTTTCAACTGACACCTTAAAACAATTCACCACTGATTAAAACCACTACAGACATGGCTCGTTCGGTGATGCGTATACCGAATTTGATTCGTTAGTACTTATTTTTATTATAGTATTCTCTCATCTAATACTATATTGTTTCCATCGATGAAATTGTAGACAATTTTTGTAATTAAAAATCGAATGCATTGTGTTTCTCTATCTCTCTTTTTTATGTATTTAATCTTATATAAACGATGTAATAAATTTCTGTGAAAAATAGACACTTCGGTCAGTTAGAGTTTATTTTATTTTCTCAACGTTTCGACAAGAATATTTTTCTTCGTCAGGAGAAATAAATAAAAATGAAACATTTGGCAAGGCGTTAAAAATTGTTCTGAAGTTGCAAGGGCGTTCTCATATGTAATAAAGGAGTTTCAATATCAATCTCTCTTTCATTGAAGATCAACTTTAATTATACTTATAACACTTTTGGTTATATGTATACTAGACGAATGACCCGGGCAACGCCCGTGTTTTACCCGATTGAATGTTTTTATTCCAATACTATTTGTTACAATTATAAATTGGAGCCGTGGATGTCACTCTTGTGAAACGTCCCGCTCCAAACTTTACATGTACATTAGGTCAGCTGGTATTACCCCTCATTTTCACCGCTAGAGGCGCGAGCGAATTGACCTTTTGTAAATATACATAATTATAAAGATAGAAGCTTCTATAGAAGATAATGATCATAATGATGATGCGCTCGCATCCGTGACATGAGGAATTGAGGAAAGACGGTCGTGACTATATATGTTGATATATTTTCATTTATCAAATTAGTATATACAGAGATCACACTATAAATAAAATAAATAAAGTATTGGCAAAATGCTTTCTTCGCTAATTTACTAGTATCCAAAGATGTAATGAGATATTTCAATTTATATTTTTTCTTTGCAATTAGAGAGAAAGAGAGAGATGTCATATTGTATCTCCTTCACTGAAAATTTCGGTATGGTTTTCCTGAAAAAAACGAATAGAGTATTCTCTGTTGTGCAATAGAGCGTTTTACTGGAAATGGGAGGTCGCTAAAGGAAATAGCTCAGTCAAAAATGAACTATGTAGGTAATAATAAAAATCAAACCATTTTTTAAAAATAAAGTATAACAGCATATGGGTTTGGGAATAATTTCTATAGGATTTTTACGTTGAATATATATTGTAGAAAAATATTTATTATTTGATGACATAGTTATAACACATAATAAAGGAATGACAATACATTCAGATGGCACAAGAATCTATAGGACATGCAACAACTGTCCTGGTGTGGAACTAACACCTACTCACTTATTCTCATGCCCAGCAATGGCCGCAGCCTTGCAGAAAATTGACATAGACCCAGAGAAGCAGCTTTACACACCCAAGATAGTGGACATTGCTGCTGCTGTGATAGAGATACATGGAGACATCTGAAGGTTCTTCATTGGACACGACAACAACAACAACATAGTTATAATTTTATTCATTTTTAAAATACTATTTCGCCTCTATTTTGTTTATTAGAGATCTACTTATATAATTGCCTTATTCTGTCTGTGTGAAGTTCACGGATAGATTTTGGTCAGAATGGATAAAATAAAAAAGGTGTCAAGGGATGGGAATCGAACCCACGACCTTCCGCTTACCGAGCAGATGCCATGACCACTAGGCCACATGACCACAATTTATAATTGTAACAAATAGTATTTGAATCAAAACATTCAATCGGGTAAAACACGGGCGTTGCCCGGGTCATTCGGCTAGTGTGTATATTTATAATTGAACACATATCAATTAACTTCCAAATGGATATCATTATTATATCGCATGATATTTTTAGTTAAGTGTCACGGGCAGAGTCTAAAAGAGCGTTAAAATTACGGAGAAGTAGGCGATTGTAACTCTATATGTATTGCAAGTGCAGTGCATATCTAAAGAGTCTAAAAATGTTTGACGTTGTACTTACAAATCTAAATACTTTCTTTATCGTTGAACTATTTAGTGGACTTGAACTTCTACAGTGTCCTTGCGGAGGTTAGGGCAGCATTTTTACACTGATGGATAAAACTTGAGGAAGTGGAAAGTCTTTTTAAAAAAAACAGAGGCAATTTTGTTCACACTTAGTTATCTCGTGTGTCTTCAATAGAGGTCATTGTGTATCAAATATCTTTCAGAGTTATTGTCTGAATCCCGATATATATGCTAGAAGATGAAACTTCCTTAAGTTTCGTCCATGAGTGGTGGGATATCTGGTGGGATCAAACCATGGTGTGCCTCAATTATTCAAACTTAACACACAAGGAGTATTTATGAAGGAATTAATCTATAAACAAGAGTAACTTTAAAATATAACATTATAAAAATATCTAGAAACCTTTGGCAATAAAGTAGAACTGCTCTTCACTGAAGGTTAATAACGAGTTTACAAAGTGGGAAGAGGAGCTTCTTTTTATTAGCATGCACACAAGCTTTCGGACATATCGTCCTTCATCAGGTAAGAGTAATAAACGCGCTGAGGATCCATATATACACAAAGCTGAAAAGAAAATTTACATAACTGCAAAAGATAAAAGTATTTAAAGATAAAAATAAGAACCAAATTACAAACAAAGCCATCCATTCTATACAACAATATCAATAATAAGTACCAAAGACTTTTACTAGAGGCATTTGTGTCAATAAAAACAAACAGCATCAACAGGCATATAGATATACCAGAACAATACCATATGTTATGTGAATAGCCATAGGTTGCATTTACCTGCCCTTGATTAACACCATTCATAGTGCATATGTACTTAGTCCAGATTTATTAGCATTTAATCCCTATAATCTTTTTAGCATATTTGGTTCTTATTTTTATCTTTAAATACTTTTATCTTTTGCAGTTATGTAAATTTTCTTTTCAGCTTTGTGTATATATGGATCCTCAGCGCGTTTATTACTCTTACCTGATGAAGGACGATATGTCCGAAAGCTTGTGTGCATGCTAATAAAAAGAAGCTCCTCTTCCCACTTTGGCAATAAGTTTATTTATTACAAAACACCGAGAGCTCGAAAGTTTTCGGGGTTTTGTAATAAAGAAACTTATTGCGATATTTTTATAAAAGTATATAGCAATTTTATTATATATTTGATTATTAACCTAAAAAATAACATATTGAGATTTCCATTGAATGGCACTATATATCCATATCTCAGGCGTTAAGTAGGGTACCGATGAAAATGGCGTTAAGTCGGAGGTTACCAGTTTATATTGTATTTTAAGGACTTTTGGAAAACCTCTAATGTAGTACAACTTTTTTTACAGTAGAATGGCAACCCCGCGTGTAGAAACGTGTTTAATGCGGGTCACAGCAAGGAAATTAATGAAGATTTGCTAGCGGCGGGGAAAGAAAGAAGTATGTAACTCAAGTGTTTTAGAAACTGAACTAAATATAAGGCAATAACGCGCCATCTATAAGTACAAAATAAAACCATTGTCGAACATATAGGCAGAATCATGCAACACAGTATTTGAGCTCTAAAAAGTGGTCTAGTGGATTAAATTTGCGAAACCGCTGGGAGGATCACCACTGATGAGTCAAGCCCTCCCAATATTTTTCATCTCAATAAGGAGAGTAGAAAGTTTGATTTATTTATAAAAGAAGCATTATTGCCCTAAAATGGTTTTATTATTTTATATAGAAACGGAATTTCTTTCACGTTTTTATTTAATAAAAATACAAGGCACCTGCCCGGTAAGCAGAAGGGTGTGGGTTCGATTCCCGCCCCTGGACACTTTTTATTTTTCCGTTCGCCATTACTCTTCATGTTTCACCTTTCCATACCTCATCCTCAACGTTAGAAATGTCGCTATTTCTCTTTGAAAATAAATTTCGATTTTTATAAAAGAAACATTCGCGGTATAATTTCAATTTTCGTTTTACAATCATCAGCCGCGTTATATTGTATTTTAAAAATATTGTTTAACAAAGTCAAATTTCTATCAAGTGTGTGGTAACTTTATAATTTCTTACCGATATATCACACCAAAGGTAATTTAATAAATCCTTTATTCTACACTCATGGACAAAACTTAAGTACAGTACATATTTTAATGTCACCAGTCGTCTATATTTTTTTTAAGGGAACAGAGATAATTTTTACATTTCTACAGGTAAACTCCGTACAATTGGTATAAGTGTAAAACGAATCAAAAGTTTTGACGAAGGAGTATCTTTTATTATATTTGTGCAAGCTTTCGAACTTTGCAGTTCTTCCACAGGCGTGGATAGTACAAAAATACTACCACTATTTGAAATTTTGAAAAAAGACATCTCCTTATCGTGCAACTGAAAGTTGCTGATGGCTTGCGCCATCTATCGGAATAAATATAAACTATTCTCGTTGATTTTTAATTATTCCAGAATTGGCAAAGAGATAATTTTGTTCACACTTTTTATCTCATGTGTCTTCAATAAAGGTCACTGTATATCTGATATCTCTCACAGTTATTGTCTGAATCCCGATATACATGTTGAAAGGTACAACTTCCTTAAGTTTTGTCTATTAGTGGATACTTTATATAATATATATATATATATGCATATATGTGTTTGTGCATCTATTCCGATTGGGATAGTCACATATATTTGAGGCGCATGACAAAAAATACATATAAATATGATTAGGTAACTACTACAACCTTTTAAATTCCCTATTTCCAACGTTTCACAGAATAAAGAATTTTAAAGTTTGTGGTGGATATCTTATTTATACAAAAAAATTCCAATCTGCAAAAAAATATTTTTCAATATAAAATCATAATTTCAATTTTATATAGGTAAAATGATGAAATTTTGGGGTAGATGTTTCTATAAGATTCTATTTCCTGCTAAAACTTCCCTTTGGAAACCTCGGTTTGTTTCAGGAAAGGGGAGATTGGCCACGACAGGCTCTACCAAAGGGCCAAAGGAGAAAACGGAAGCTTGTGGGATGCTTTCTTAATTAGATTGGGATTTAATTAAATTAAATTATATAGCTAATTGCTTTATCCACTTACACAGGCCTACTTTAAGGTTTTATTTCTGATTTTATTTTGAAAAATTGTTTTGAAAACCGAAAAATAAACAGGTTTGGTATTTTTACGGTTTAATTGAGAAAAAAGAAATCCCATGAAACCATTATTTCAAAGGAAAATTGCGTCAGTTTAGGTGAAGTACACTCATGGAAGTTGTACATTTTAACATGTATATCGTGATTTCAGGAAATAACTCTGAAATATATTTGATTCAGAATGTCTCTCTCTCCTTTATTGAAGACACACGAGATAGCCAAGTGTGAACAAAATTGTCGCTGTTTCCTTAAAAAAACAAAAAAAAAAAAACATGAGGAGACGACAACAGAGACTTTCCACTTTCTTAAGTTTGATTCTTCCTCAAGCATATTGAGTTAACGCTTGATAGATTACCGAATATTTAAAAAATAAACACATTGAAATTTTAACTTTTATAACTGAATCATAGGTTGGCGTGTGGATGTCTAGACTTTCCGTCGGTTGATATCCCTCACGAAACTCCATATCGTCTGCTTAAAAATTCTCGCTCGTTATCTTCTGCAAATTCCTACGTCGCGGAATTTACTTCGGTTCGATCGTAAAGCTCCTGTTAATGAGAAAATATGTCCTCGAGCATTCTTCACTGACTTCACTTGATTGCTCCCCGCCTGAGAAATTAGGCATTGATGAGCACATCTTTAGGTAGTATCGTAGTTTTACCTTTCTGTGTGGGAACCAAACAGAAATCACGCAAATTTCATTGTGCAAAGCGATATTTCAAATATTTTTATATTTTCACTAAGATATTATAAGTATAAAAATGCACATATTTGATTTTTTAAATTTTTATTTCTCCAATATTCATAGTAATCAATTTGTATTGCTTAATATTAGAAATATTTTAACGCTACTTCAAGTGCTCTAATTTTCCAGTAGCGCAAAAAATATTTCTAATTTCCAGTCGGCAATATGATTATTTTTCAAAGAACTAATATTCTCATTATACTCTACAATATTCTTCATTCAACATATAAAGGTCGTAGCTATTTTTCACCACAAATATAAAATTTAAAATATGTATAGGAGTTTTATAGCAAAACATTATTAAATTCAATATCAATATTAAAATATTTATTTTATAAGCTATCATAACTTCATCTGAATGAGATGGATATGACATAGCGATTTTAATAGAATTTTAGGCCTACTTTCTCTGATTATGAAATTAATTTTATTTATTGATTTTTTTATTTAAAATTTGAGAGCCTTTCCAAAAAGCGCGAATTTCTTTTAATTAAAGTAGTTTAGGCACGCGGAACAATGTTTATTTTTGCAATAAATTGACATGTTTTTAAATTAAGAATTCTAAATAATATTTGTGAAGATAACTAGCAGTGTGAACGATGGAGCTTTCTTGTAAAAATTCGATTTAGTTAAATTTGTGCGACACTTCAATTTTTATAGATATATTTTATTCTCGCGGTTTCATCCGACGACTAGACAGCTTTTTTTATAAATTATTTGTTGTTTATGATATTTTTTCTTGAATTTCAAAATAAAAATATGATTATTTTCAAAAAGGATATTCAGTATAGGAGGAAAGCATCGTTGCATTGTATTGACGCATTCACTAAATACATTT